AAAATATTGACACCCAAGCATCAGCATGTATTAACTGTAGAAGAAAACATTCGTCGTGTGAAAAAACTAATCAATAAATGAAAATATGAGCAATTGATTAACTACTCAAAACACTAAATACATATTACAGTTGAATATTTTCGGTGATTTTTCACGGACCATCTTTTTTACGATTGTGATTAAGTCGAACGATTCAAATATATTTTTCTCTTTTTGTTTTCATTTGACTTCTAATTTAATTTTATGTAAACACTCCTCCAATAAAAAATAGTTATATTGACATAATCAAAATGATGAATGGTATTTTCTATTAATTTGTCGCAATATTGTAAAAAGAAAGGGAACAATTTGCATCAATTAAAACTTATAAAAAAGACAGAACCATCCAATTTCGAGGAAAAAATCAAATAATTTTTTTCTGTGAGGTAGAAAGTGACAGAAGCATTTTATAGCTTATTTTTTTTTACAAACACACCATTCTCCCTACCGTTCTACTCTGCTTCGCTCCGCCTTGCTCAAAAGTTTTTATCTAAAAAATACATTCGGAACCGTCTATGTGGAATAAAGAAATGGGTATGATCAGATCATTTCACAGTTTACTATCAAAATATATTTTCCATTATTTCTGAGACTTAATTAATCTTCTTTGATTTTGTATTGTATTTAGGCAAATGAAGAAATCTCCGATATTTAGATCAACATTATCAGTTTTCTTCTTTCATCGTCTCTACCGAGCTTCATTTGCCGGTATTTATATATTCTTGCTATCCTATATCAAATTCAATGTTCAATATACTGAAAGTAATAAGAAACTGTTTTTATAATTATTGTTGTGTCTGTAATGAATACTTACTTATTCATTTAATTTTTATTTTTTTGTAACATTTGATTTTGAAAATATAATTAAAACTGTTACTTAATATGTTGTTAGATAACAGAGAAACGGCAAAAGAGAGAGAGTGATTAGGTATTAGCAGTAATTGTGTTTTTTTTATATTCGAACATATCACAATATTTTACTCTTCATTCTGAAATCAGATTGAGACAATGGTAGATTTAAACAAACGAGCTTTTTGGCATTTTACATTTAAAGACATATTAACTATTCTATGCGCAGCTGCTATACCCATAGCTCTTGCTATTTATGCTGCAATTGACTCTGAACAAGCAAAAAAAGAAGCTGAAAAAACACGACAGTTTGATTTGGAACAATCAAGAGAATTGAGACAACAAACACTTTATGATGAATTTATAAATCATATTTATAAATTGGATAAAGATGGTTATCTTAAGGAGAGAAAAAATCCATGGGCATTTGCAAATGCATATTATCGTGCTGCTCATCTCCAATGGGATACAATACGTAAAGCATATGTTATACAATTTCTTAAAGAAAAACAATTGATTGGTAGAAATAATTGTACTAATGGATGTAAAATAACAAATTTGGATGATATAATTCGTTTGAATAAGTTAAACTTTGATAATGTACATCTAGCAAGTCAAACTGGTGCATTACATCAACTGGATTTAGAATGTGTTTCTTTTGATGAAGTATCAATGTCAAATGCAGTATTTTCATCTGTTAATTTAAATGGTGCGTCATTTGATGGAGCACAATTAGATAAGGTGAAATTTGATGGTTCATCTTTCCGTTGTACTAGTTTTAATGGTACAAATCTGGAGGGTGCACACTTTTCAAACAGTGATTTATCAGGAGCTAAACTAACGGAAGATCAAATAAAACAGGCATCTTATGATAATGTAACTCTGCCAAATGGAGAGAAGAGTGAAACTACATCATCAACGACAACAAAAAAACCTAGAACACAAACAATAACTATAATAAAAACAGAAATGTCGACAACAACAACATTATCATCATCATCAGCACCATCATCAATAATATCATTATCAACATCAGAAGCAACAACAACAACAACATCCTCAGCAACTTCACCAACAATGTCGTCATCATCAACAACATCATCAACATCGTCAACAACAACATTAGTCGGTCAGTAATATGTTACACGAATTATAGTACCTTTTTTAGTTGCCAATCGATCAATTCTTTTTTAGTTTGAGAAACTGTACTCTTAGAAGCTTCTGTTTCTTATTTGTTGAATATACTTGATGATGATAAGTACTTTTCAGACAATATTCTCTTTCGAATATTATTTTGAAAGTTATGCGTATGATATGTTTGTAGTATTGGTGAAAGTGTTTTATTTACTTTTATCTTTCTGAGATAGATCCATGTAGAATTTTCTGTAGAATGAAATCCAGAATCTTGTAACAGAGAACTCAATTCGAAGCTACAGTAATTATTGATAGGTCCTCGAAATACAAAATCTATTTAGTTTAAACTTTTCATCTAAACTTCAGAAAGAATGAGTCATTCTCATTTATACTTAGAGATAGTTTATGCCTGTTCGTTTTAGTGAAGAGATTTTCAAGTGCACTCGAATAATTCGACCTATCATATGACTAAAAGATCTTCGTTGGATTAACTTAAGATGAGTAAATTTGAATAGAATATGCTTCTAGTAATGTTCCATCGAAATTTTAGTCTTTTTTGATAGCTATGTCTCGTAAAGACACGATTTAGTGTTTGTTGCAAAATGTTAGCTCTTCTCCACATGTATTTGTGAGAATATGTTTGGAATTTTACAAAATTAATTTTGTGTTGAAAAGATATTGCAAAGAATGATGTCAAATGAATAAACGAATGTAGAAGAGAGAAATGTATTATCTAAATTGGAGATTAATAACTGTGCTAATGCCGAAACAGATTAAAACGTCGTTGATGACGATAGATAGAATTGGAAAAATGATGTAAGTAGTGAGATTCTCAAAGATCACAATTAGGTATAAGGATAGTGGAATGAGTGTATTGGTTGATTGCTTTGCTTTCAGTTGAGATGAACTATTGCAGATTAAATAGAATAAGACGATAAAATACTATTTTTCAATGATAAGAACTGTAATCGAAATCTTTTTTTTCTTATTTAGCAGTTTCTAATGGTACATTTCTTAATGAAACTATCTACTCAGTTGGTGCTAATCCTTCGTCAGTGGTCGTAACCGATGTGAACGGCGACAAAAAACCTGATATTGTTACTGTAAATAGAGGTTCAAACAGCAGCAGTGTTTTTCTCCTCCAACTAATTACACAGTTGGCGCATTTCCACAATCAATAGCAGTAGCCGATATGAACAACGACAATAAACCCGACATTGTCACTGCAAACACAGGGAAAAACACCATCAGTATTCTTCTCAATGTAGGCAACGGCACTTTTTCTCCTCAAGTTACTTACTTAGTTAATGAATTTCCAGTGTCATTAGCAGTAGCTGATGTGAATAACGATAATAAATCCGATATTGTCACTGCAAGCAAAAGTAAAACCTGCATTAGTGTTCTTCTGAACGTGGGTGACGGCACCTTTCCTCGTCAAGTTACTCACCAAGATCTTAGAGGTTCATTGTCAGTAGCAGTAGCCGATGTGAACAGCGACAATAAACTCGATATTGTCTATGTAACCGCGACTTTTAACAACATCATTGTTCTTTTCAACACAGGCGACGGCACTTTTTCTCGTCAAACTTCTTACATAGTTGGTTTAAATCCAAATTCAGTAGTAGTAGCCGATGTAAACAGCGACGATCAACCGGATATTATTATCGCACATCACGGTATAAACAGCATCGGCATTCATCTTAACAAAGACAAGGGCACTTTTCCTACTTCAAGCACTCACTTAGTTAGTGGAGATCCAGAATCAATAACAGTAGCCGATGTGAACAACGACAATAAATCCGATATTGTCTCTGCAAACGCGAATTCAAACAGAATCAGTGTTATTCTCAACAAAGGCAACGGCAATTTTTTTCCTGAAACTACTTACGCAGTTGGTGGAGCTCCAGTGTCAGTAGTAGTAGCTGATGTGAACAACGACAATAAACCCGATATTGTCGTCGCAAACCGAAATGGAGGAACTGTCAGTGTTCTCGAACAGTGTTAAAATTTATTTCTTAGTCATACCTAATGATATGAAGTGAATGACAATGTTCGTTCGATACTAAAACTTTTCCATTATCAATCTTTTACTCAAACTCATTAATGCTTTTACTTTCAGATTCTTGTACTGTTTTTTTTGCTTGAATCAATGAAAATCAAAATGATCCTATCTTTTGACGAAAAGAGTAGTCTGAGGACATGGATGAGGATGTGACTGCGGTGTGGATACGAAGAATCACATAAGTATTTACCCTCCTCAGACTCCATAGTAATGAAAACTTATGAGAATCACCGACTATTAGCCATCAACTGATTAGTTTGCGAGTTTAGCTACATTTTACAATTGCTTTTCATTGTATATCATTTATCACTAATAAATAAATTCTATTAAACACTTCATTTTGTACATATTACTCATACAGAAAATAATCTTAAGAGAGACTTCTTAAGAAAGATACACCCGGTTTGTTATGAAGGATAAAAGAGGATCCTTCTTTCATAGAGAATAATATTATATGGCATCATTACTTCACAGTACACATTTATAGGTCAATATTAAAAGCAATCGTTCAAAAAAGAAATAATATACCAACTTATTCGTTTTTCATATCTTATCGATAAGTCAATAAGCATTGATGCTATTAATATAACAAAATTAATTTAATTTATCTTTGGTTATATATTTCAGAAATGAAATCAACATTTTTGATTTTTACAAATTCAACTTGAATAATCATAAAGACATTGATTTCAAATAAAGACGAAGATGATGATGAATATAAGGAAAATATAATTGTTGTTTGTTTTTATCCAGATAATCAAATAGAAGATTTAAAGAAACGATTCTATGAAATATATAATTGTATTATTTCTATTCAACCAATGAAAAAACAAAAAAAATTATTTTTGATTATATTCAGTTGATATGTTAATGCAATACAATCTCAGATAGATATTTTTCATTCAATTGATTCGATTTTTATATTTATATATCATTCCGAAAAAAATGAATATAAATATTTTTTCATGAAAAATGAAATATAATCGGTATTTATGATAGATCTAAAAAATGATAAAGCGCTTGTTTTCTTCAAACAACCATTAACCACTCGAGAAAAATATAATGATCAATTTCATTTTGATATTGCTCGAAGTCTAAACAATATTAGTGAGATTTTATTCGAATAATGTCGATATTTAAAAACTATTATCAATCAAACCGTCTATTTATTTTTTCTTGTCTTTACCCTTATGGTCTTATTCTTATTCGATAAGAGAAATCTCTAGATATTGAACAACAAGCATTGGTGGTGATCAAAAAGTGACTGATCATATTGTTATTACTAAGATTTTTATGAATATTTTTGATACATCCACAACTTAGTCATAGACAAAAGCTTTTACAACATCAAATAGAATAGTGAAAAATGTCTACGCTACGATGTTTGTTGTTCTTTGTTTCTGTAATATTAGACCCGTTGCAGTATTCATTTGTTGACGCTGTGTTTTATTGAAACACTTCAAGATGACACGTTCAATTTCTTGACGAAATGGTTTCGATACGGCAACATACAAGTAGAAAGTAAGGCAATAATTCAGATAGAACAAGAAAGTGAGTGAGATAAAAGACATGAAAGCTTCGATTTGGATGCGATCTTGGCTCTTATTGGGCACATTACTTGCCAACACGGTGTATAGCGTATTGACTGGAAATAAAAAGGTGAGAACGAAGCCGAGAAAGACTTCAGCTAAGACAAGTTTGACCAATTTCACATCTCGTTTGGATAAAACATGCTGTGGCACATTGTTAGTCCCTGCAGCTGGTTGAACACGAGAACGAACCGCTTTCAAGTTCTTCAGGATGAGAATGCCGAAAATAAGTGTGAGAATTGGTAGAATCAATCCAAAAACAAATATTTGATAGATACTAAAAAAGATACCATACACTCCAAAAACACCGCATCGATTGTTCTCGATATTCTCAAGAAAGAGCATATGCATTGACATGAGCATCCAAAAAACAGTAGCACCTCCGATCATCTTCAATGCTATTTTCGGTTTGCTGAATTCACGAATGGTGGTTTTAGTTGAACTCAATGCAAAACGATCGATACATCCAAATAAAACCATAGTTTTGTAAAGAACCGACGTAACTTGTAGAATAAAACCTCGAATACGACAAAGTGCGAGCGACTTGCTGAATGGATCTGGTGGTTGATAGATAGCATACGTACTACTGATGAGTGCCCAATTGATACCTATGATACTGAAAACGGCGGCAGCAAGCAAATACAATGAACAAGAACTGCGTCGATTATGCTTTTGAGAGAAGACAGCAATGACAGCCAGATTACCGATGTTACCCAGTACCAATATAATAGGATATGCATAGCGGATAGTAACTTGTTGTACAGTAGTGAGAGATGCAGCAACAGAAGACATAATATAGAACAAATATATGTTGTCGTCGATAGGAATCAGAGAGATATGAAATGAATGAATTAACGAATCACTTAGTAACGCAAAAAAATGTGTTTTTGGGATAGGCGATTCCTGTAAACTTTGCAACGCTCTTCTCAAACGTCGATATACTTTATCTTACGAGAAAATCTTTTTTTTATTTTTTTGAAACTTCTATGACGTTTGTTTCTCAATATGAAATTTCAATTTATTTTCAAATTAGTTGTTCACACTCCTATAAGCTGTCACTCCAGACTCATCTCGTACTTTAAGAAATATGTTCCAAACAGTCGCAATATATATATATAGTAAGCGAGTTAGAAAAAAAGCGTAAATGATGAGGACATTTTCTTAAACAACATCAAAAGACGAGAAAGAAAATATATAAAAATGGATGATACTGTAACACGAAACTATAGAAGAGATTCCAAAAAAGTTATATAAATAAATCAACAGGCGTTCGTCGGATATTTAAACAAAATGTTTAATTTAAAACCAGTAAGCAAATAATTATCGTGTTGACTTCTATGATTTCTTCTTTTATTGTGCAAGAAAATATTCGGTTGTTCTTTAGTTTCATTATCTAGTAATAATGAGGACATGTTTTTTTTAGAAAATGTAATCATATACTCAATTTTTTTTTATGAATTTATTAGTTGTTAGAAAGAATTTTGAGTTTATAAAAAATATAATAAAAATGAGTAGCGGCGTAATATGAAATCCAGTACAAATGAGACCTTTCAAAACCATACCAGTACTCAATTTACAAAAGCAACATATAAATTTGAACTCAACTTTAATTAAGAATTTGAATATGGTTGGCATATATGTCTAGTAATGACGTATAAGAGAAATTTTATCTTAATTATAATTTATAATTGGCGAAAACACAGAGGAGCGTATAAACTGTAATACGTTTATGTGTATGTGACGTAGTCTAATCTTTTTACTAAAAAACCTGAACCCTCTGTGTAACTATTTGATGAATGATCAAAAGTAATTATTCAAATAAGATAATTCTTTGATTCATCTAAAAAATGTCAATAATTTATTTGTTCGAACATATTAATAATCTTAGAATAGAAGAAGAAGCATAAGAATATTTTGTTCTATTTCGTAGGAATAATATTTATCATCATAGCTCCATGAGAAACTATATCTGGTGATGTATAATTGCCTGTAAATATTCCAAGATTTTGATGCGTCCATAAATCTCGAACAGTTGCTGAATTATTAATCGGAAAACCAATATCACTCCATTTGACAGTGATACGTTCATTGTTACTATCACCTCGATTGAATAAAACTACAGCTTGTGAACCGTCTGAAAGTGGACCAGCCCATATTTCAAGTTCTAATGGAACTGTTAAACATTGATTACTCGATTCACTTTTTATTGTTCCATCTGTTGAATTCCATATCCATTTTTGATTTTGTCGACCATTACATAAAAGTGCATACACATTTGGACCATACGAATTATGTACTTCCATACTAGTCAATTAAATTTTTTATGTATTTCAAAAAATATTCTTTTTAACTTACCAATAACCAGTCATTTGTGAAACAATAGTCTCATTTGATGGATTAACTGTCCATTGTTGATTTTTACCTTGGCATTGTGCTTGTGGATCACCAATTTGACAATCATTCAATACAGCATATGTTTCTCTTCTTGTACTACATTGAGCAATTGATAAACATCGTCCATTAAATACTGATTGAAAGCTTCCATCTTGAGAATTGTATACCCATTGACGACGTTTCGGATCAATAGTTGATAATGAACAGTTAGCAACGATAACTTCACTTGAAGCATTCAATGATTGTGCTGCTGCAAAAGCTACTTTTTTCCCTTGAATACCTAATGGATCTTGATTAACAGCAATAACTTCTGAATTGGACAAAATTGATAGGCTTGTTGCACTTAGATTTCGAATATCACATCCAATAATTAAAGGTGCTTTAGTTAAAGACCAAAGAGAAAAATGTGTCCTATATTCAATATCACTCATACCACCATTACCAATTTGAAGCACTAAATATAAATTAATAGAAATCGATCAGAAACAGTAAAAAGAATTATTTACTATCTGGATCACTCCAACCACCTGGTCCTGCTTGTTGAGCAAAATCATTATTCTAGAAAAAAAATGAAAATCTAGTTCAGTGTAAAATTTATACAATAATCTTACCTGATCAATATTAGCCATAATTGC